ATATGATTTTTTGTTCTTTTGTGCTTGATATGGTCCCTTCGACCCCTCGTGATCACAGGCTGGTGTGCTTCTTCCTGTGGGCTTTGTTGATTCTGGGCTAGATGGCCGCTTGTTTATCTTCAAGCCTTTAAGACCCCAGATGCTATATCTTTTGATAGCCAGCACCATCAGCTTTCTTCACCACATATGCTTATGCACACGTTTGTCTTCAGTGATCATGTCGGGAAAGTGGGTATCATGGAATGACGATTTAGTTGAGCAATGTGTTCTTGTATTGAGGGAGTACATGGGTGGAGTCCCAATGTCCATCTGCCACCCTACTACTCACCCCATAAATATATGCACATAGATCTATTTCCCCCACCATCATAAATATATTTACAAATGTACATACCTGTATTTAGGCCTCTATGTGTGCCCTTTGCCTCCTACTTCTTTCCTCTATTTCCTTTTGCTTTCCTCTTGTCCCACTACCATGCTCAGCCTTCATTTGGGTTTCAGTAATTCCTCTCGGTTACATTGCCCTTGATCACCCCCTACTAGTCCTCCCACTCCCTCCTTGCCACCAGTTTTGAATCACTCCTTGTTCCCTTGTCCCAGGGTTGGTTAACACCTCTTCCCTTCCCCCACTTCCCATTCTCCCATGTCCCCCCAGAACCATTGGTCCTGTTGTTTTCTTCTCCACGTTGTTTATCCAGCCTATCTTATCTAGATAGACCTGCAGGGATAATATATGCACATAAAATTGTGGATTGCCTTGACAGCACCAAACAAAGTGACACATAAAAACAAGGTGACGACGGACGGCAGCAACAACAACAAACTAACAAACAAAAAAGCCAATGTCATACAAAATCTAAAAGAAGAAAAAAAAGAAAAGAAAGAAAGAGAAAAGCCCGTTAATAGTTCAAGGTCTGTTTCTTGACTTTTAGGAGTGTTTTCTGGTCGAGTCTGATGGGGTGCCACATGTAGCAGACCTTCTGTTCCCTGCTGGTTTTTTGTAGAACTTCAGTGATTGGCTTGCTTTTGGTAGAGAACATCCACTTTCAGAAGGTACTACAGACAGTATGTGTGCCTAAATTCATGTTGCCCCCTTGTCCAGAGATCAAAACACTGGCTGGTTCTTCTTGCCATCCCGAGGTCCATTCAGTAATTTGTGGGGATTATGCACATATGCTTCCCAGCTCTGTCCACTGACCCAGAAAACCTTTCTGCTTCCACCCTTTTACTGCCTCCTTCTCCAGAATTCCTTTTCTTTTGATCTTCACCTCCTTCTATGGTGGGAAGCTATTGATAAATAATAATAATAGTAAATGTCTCTTTTCTGTGCTACACATCCTTCTGTGCTGAGAAGGATCCATCGTTCTTTCTTCAGTCCTTGCCCTAAATCTATCTCAAAATAAGACCGTGTAACTAGGCCAAATTTTAGTCAGACTCTTTCTGTAGACTCTCCATGTGGCACACGGATTTCTCCAATCCAAATAAGCTCTATCGACTGGTGGTGCAAACCATTCAAGGTAGCCAAGGATTATAACTCCATCTCTGAAGTGAAATATACTGCATTAAAATGTCTGCCCCACCCATTCACTATGTAAAATAATCTTCTTTATTTGTTCCTTAGCCCTCACTGCTTGGGAGGGGGGAGGTATTTTGAAATACAACCCTTTTCCATGGTTTTGTTTTATTAGTTTAAAATGATAAAATATGCCTACAATGGTTGGTAAAACAAGTGCTCAATGAGAGCTATTTTATGACTCAGAGCCCTGGGGTTGCTGTTGGCTAAGCTCTGGGATGTGGACTCTAAAGCTTTGTCTCCCCAACAAGCTATGTCGAGATGTCTACTCAGTGAGGTAGTTAGTTTATTGTGCCATCCTGGCTGATAAACACATGTGGGGTTAATTGAAGGACGGAGAGATAAATGGCTCAGTGAGCCTCGCCTTTCTAGTTCTCAGGTCTCTTGCTTTGTGATAGTCACACCAGGGTGCAGCTGCCTTAGCAGTTCCCAGCTTCAGCTGGCAAGGCTGACTTCCTGCAAGACACCCCCAAGGAGAAGCCGCATGAACCTACCCCAATGCAGCCCTAGGTGCTGGAGCAGCTGTGTGGAGACCCCTGTCAGTGCTGAGATGCTTACACGTCCACTGATTTGGCTTTCCTCCTGCAGTCAGCATCACTGCGTCTGTTTTGTGAGATGGAGGAGGACTCCGTGGATTGGTGTTGGATATATGGGTTAATGGGTTAATATTGGACTTGTGGGCTTGGACAGCACTGGGTTGGGATATTTTCTTTTTTTTTTTTACAAACAACAAACTTTATTTATTTTTATCATTTTATTAGGGGCTCATACAACTGTTATCGCAATCCATACACACATCAATTGTGTAAAGCGCATTTGTACATCATTCTCAAAACATTTTCTCTCCTTTTAAACCCCCACATTAGGTCCTCATTTTTCCCCTCCTCCCAGCTCCCCCCTCCCTCATAAGCCCTTGATAGTTTATAAATTGGTATTTTGTCATATCTTACCCTGTCCGACGTCTCCCTTCACCCACTTTTCGGTTGTCTGTCCCCAGGGAGGAGGTCACATATAGTTCCCTCTTTCCTACCCATTCTCCCTTTATCCTCCCTGTTTCGCCACTCACACCACTGGTCCTGTAGGGCTCATCTGCCATGGATTCCCTATATTTTCAGTTCCTATCTGTACCAGTGTACATCCTCTGGTCTATTAAGTGCGCATCAAGAAAACAGTCTGGCTAGACCAGACTGATGGGATGTTTTCTTGATGCGCACTTAATCTTTATATAAACTCTCTCTTCTACATGAGTTTCTGTAGATGTGTTTCTCTAAAGTACCCAGACTAACACATTCAGGTAACCCATTGTAAGGGATTCAGAAAGTTGAGGGGGAAATGGAATTGAATGATAATGGGATTTTCCATTCTGAAACTCACTCACACTTGGAAGGCCCAGGAAAAGTCTATTTTCCCCCATCTTCAAATCCAAATGAGTTGAGTTCTCCTTAGGCCATCCAATTTCATTTGTGCTAGTGACAAACTTGACTGTGGGTCACTTTAGTCTGCGTTGACCTGATTGACGATGACTAGAATCCCGGGAAGCTGCCATGCACAGTTGCCAGTGCTCGTGGTTGTCATCACTACCAAGGACAGAAGGTTTGCATAGGGCATCCTTTCCTGTATGGATGGGTGTGAAGCTGTTGTGGCTTCCACATGGTTTGCTACAATGAAGGGGATCATATTGTCCTTTGGCTCCCTGAGACGTTTCGAAATCTCTCCTGAGTTCTATCCCTCTACCGAAGGCATTGTGTGCATGATGATTTCCAGCATACAGGTTGCAATCCTTGTCTTGGCAGTGGTGTGTGTTGAATTCATCACCAGAGCTGTCTGGTAACTAATCACTAGCAATTGCTAACTATGCCAACAACTTGACCTAGAGTGAGATTTAAGCACATGCCTACTAGAATAGAACATGGTACAGGTTTCTTCAACATTTTCCTGGGTAGACGGTGCTGCCTTCACTGAACAGTCACCCTTATCTGATATAAAATATTAGGTTTATTTACAAATGCACTCAGCATGTTGTATAGCTAACTGTGTAGCTTAATCTTACTGTCTATTATATACAAGGTAATGGGTTTATCCTGTCTACTTTATTTTTTAATTTCTCCTCACAGAATGCTGTTATCATCTTTTCAGTTTTAAATGGGGGGTGGGGGGATAGACTAGAAAGAAACTTGCCACAATCGCACAGTTGGCATTCACGCAACTTGAGCATCACTCCGATTCAGAGCTAGGAATGTCTAAGGCAAGAGCTATGGTGTCATTTCAAATGGGAGATCCATTTAAAAACACACCATTTTAGAATATCTATTCTACTTAAGTGGGAAAAAGATGGGGCTCTCTACTCTGATAAAGAGAGTCCTACAGTCCCACAGGGAGAGTTCTACCCTGTCCCGTGGGGCCTCTAGGAGTTGACATCCATTCAATGGCAGTAAGTTTTTTTATGTTAACTGCACAAAATTAATGACCTTTTACATCTTTTGACTGTAGTTCTATAATCTTCATATGGGTTATGTTCCTCATCTTCTGCTCACTGCCACAAATACATTCTTTAATTTGGGATCATGCCATACAAATTATAGCCAAGAAATAGGTTCTCTTAGTTACTTCCATGTTTTCACACCTTTTTCTAATCAGGTGAACAAGCTATACCATAAAACCCAGGAACATATTGAATAAAATTAATACAGTGACAAGCAAGTTTATCATTACAAAGGAAGTAAACTTATTAGATAAAATTAACTGTTCTCAACTCAAAAAGAATGTAAGAAATAATGTAAACAGGAAGAAAAAAATGTGCAGTCAATAGGCTAAATGTGAGCTCATGCATATTCAACATTCCTTAGCTACTGTGTGACTATGACCATACAGATGAAATTCAAAATTCTTATATATTTTTCAAGCAATAGAACAAATTTCAAAGTGAGTGGAAAGAGTGTTGTGATAAAGTACTGAAACTAGTGGATGGCCATGGTCATATATTTTAGTCAGGGTTCTGATATCAATTATCATTACCTCTGATGAAATTGGAATTAGCAGAATTCATAAGACTAGATGTGTAGGACTTTAAAACTTTTATTTTTAATCCTTTATTGATTTTAATTTAGGAAATATATTACTTGGTTAATAAATTAATTCTAATGCTAAACTTCCATGTACAATAACCAGCAGCCAAAAATTAATGCTCACTGTTCAACTAGCGATGTTAGTTCTTGGTTGCAACATTTATTGCTCTATAACAAACAATATCCTCTGGATCTAGAATAATTCTGATACCAGCCCCTCATAAAGGATTCTAAAATAATTTTCAAAAATTTGAAATTGTTTGAGGGAAAGAGAGAAAAGATAATTATTTGTATTTAGAGTCTTTTAAAATGCTCTAAAATCAGTTAATTCAAATTCAAATGAATCATACTCTAGAGTTTCTTTACTTACTAGGCAATTGCAAACCACCAGTAACACAGCAAGTCGGTTCATAAGTACTAGATGATTCCAAGGGCTGTGTCCCACAGACCAAAAACCTACAGGAACTGGATTCAGAGTTCTCAGCCGGTATTTGACGAAGTTCCTTTTCCAGAGTTTGGCAACTTTTACACACATACGTCTTGTGTGGACAATTCCTTTCCACATAGCTCACAGGTTGGCAGCTCAGAATTACATGACCCATTTGCTGGCTGCATCCTGGCTGGGAAGATGGAAGGACACGCTCCGGTACTGCCGAGTCAGCTCCTGCTGGGCCCATTGTCCTCTCACGGGAAATGGGATCAGGACACACTGTCTGGATAACTCTGGGGAAGCAGGCACTTGGCACACCACTGTCTTCTGAGCGTGAATTCTGCTGACACTTGGTCGCTTGGCAACTAGTGCTTTCACAGCAGGTTTCTTGGAAGTTATCCAGGAGCCAGGTTCTGCTATAGCAGCTGCTGGGTAAATGTAATCCGTCTTCAACGTTCACAGGATTAGAGGCATGTTCAATGGCGGAGAGTGGTGGGACACTGTAGAAACTCCAGCATGAGTGGCTGTGACTGTGGGACATATTGCTCAAGCCTTGATCGGTGTTGGTCATGAAAACCCAACATGCTGGGTTTGAAGATCAGATTCTTTGCTGGGGAGATTATATACTCAGAAAACTGGGTGTTGGCTTCTTCCTGAGTCTTCATTGCCCCTCATTGCTTAAGTTAATTTGAAGGATAGCTTCTCATTAGCACAGCTTTTAGTTATATATGGAGATGACGTCTCATTAACAAAGAGGCAAGTTAATTTTGAATCTTCAAAATGGCTTTTATCTTAACCCCAAAGTTGACTCATCAGTCAAGGGTTTGCCAAATATGAGTCTCAACATGCCATCCAAGCTGATCTCTCTCTCTCTCTCTCTCTTTCTTCTTTAGTCACTCTGACTCTCCATACTGGTGAATTTAAAATGAGGGAGAACTATCAAAACAGTTCATTGAAAACTGGTTAGTAATCAACAGGGTGTTTTGAGAGATGCTACCTTGGTATAGTTATATGATATTTATATCATTTTTATTGAGAAAACCCAGTTGAGTTACTTCTCATTCAGCTCAGGTCTTGGTCTCACCAGTTAACTGAACAAAGGTCTTTGAAATGGCATTCGTTCTCACTGCCCACCGAACTCCTGAAAGTAGGCATTTCCCTACGGACATCTCTCCCTTTGTTCCCTTCAGTTCTCTGAAGGCTGGGTTCAAATGTGCTCTCTTCATGACATTTTGCCCTGACCTCCTCAGTTAGAAGGGATTGCTTTTTTCTCTGAATTACCAATGGATTTGACCCCTTCTTTATACTTTACGCTGTTTTCACTTGTGTTTGTTTCTTTAATGCTGAAAATTTTTATTTTTAATGAAGATAATTATTTTCATATTTATTTTAGTTTATTCAGCACTTTACTTCAGGAATTCAGCAATCAATTCTTACATTTATCTCATCATGCTATAGTGAGCATAGTTTCATACTCATAACCTAGAATCTCTGAGCACAGTTTTATAACACAATTTGATTCCATTTATGACAGTGAAACAAAATGGAAACGTGTTTTAAGAAAACATCTTGATATCCCCCTTTTTAAAAATCATTTTATTGGGGGCTCATACAACTCTTATCACAATTCATACATCCATCCATTGTGTCAAGCACATTTGTACATTTGTTGCCATCATCATTTTCAAAACGTTTGCTTTCTGCTTGAGCCCTTGGTATCAGCTCCTCATTCCCCCCCCCCTCCCCACTTCCCCCTCCCTCATGAAGCCTTGATAATTTATAAATTATTATTATTTCATCTTATCTTACACTGCCTGATGCCTGATATCTCTTTTTATGCTGAAGAAATGTAGAAATATCCCCGAAATCTGAGTAAGTTTTTCTACAAATAACATCCTTGACATGTGAAGATTTGGGTGCTTTCTGGACTTAGCAGGTCATATATTAATATATTCTGCTAGAGAGGATACAATGGGTCCACAATATTGTTATAAAGCATGCAAGTTATTTATAATCTTGAATGACTGCTCTTTTGTGTGTGAAGATCCCATTATGCCCTTCTCATGAATCTATGACAGTCTATTTAATTCTTATCAATATTTTGCTTTGCCATTATAGAGTGCCATGTTGTCCTTTTGGGTTAGGCATTGAGACACTAACGGCAAGGTTAGTTTTTCCAACCCACAATCATCTCCTTGGGAGAGAGATTGTTCTATTTGCTCATTCCCAAATTCATAGTCTCAGAAATCCTATGGAATGGGTGACCGTTAAAATGGATTCTGTGACAGTGTGTTTGTTTTAGTCTTTGAATATACACATTGGCAATATAATTTGTGTCTCTCTTGCTTAAAGGTCGCAAATGGATTCTCAATGTTCTTTAGAGAAGACCTCTTAGCCAAGTCTACAACACTTTGCAAGATCAGATGTCAGTCGAGCTTTCTAACTCCTGCGCATGTCCTTCCTCTCTTCTTAGTGTGCTCATCCTGACATTCCTGATTCAACATTAATATGTGCAATGGTTCGCGTTTCGCTGGCGTTTCGCACTGGCAGCCATCTATCTGGATAGCTGCTTTCTACCCCTTTCTTCTTTTTCTACTGTTTTATTCCTCATCTTTTGTGTCTCAGCTGAAGAGATACCTCTTAGAGCACGTTTCCTTCATAACCAATCTGATAGGGGGGGGGGGGAAGCTACTCTCAGAGACTCATTTTGTTCTTACATCCAAAACATAGTGAATCTAAAATCGAGGTCTTTGAGTCACTGTTGATTCATCCTGTCCCCCTCTGTGTTTCTGATGCTGTAAATGGGAGTTTCTACAGGAGTAGCAATCAGAGCTACTGGTGGTTTTGAACTGCTAACCATACAAATCACAGCCCAACGTGTAGCCACAACACTGACAGAGCATACCCTTTTCCTCCATAGAACGTATATTATAATTTTGAGGAGTCCCTGTGTAGTGCAACCTGTTCAGCACTTAGCTCCTAATTAAAAAGTGAGTAGTTTGAATCTTTTCAGAGGTGTTTCAGAACGACCTGGAAATCTACTGAAAAATCAGCCACTGAAAACCCTCTAGAGAGCAAGTCTAAAGACATGTGTTCTCAGAGTTGTCATGAAAATGGAATTGCAGCTGTGAGCCCAATGAGATGTAATATGATGAGTTCCTTTATGGGTTTCTCCATTGTGACTTTGTCACTAGCCTATGAGTTCCACAGATGCAAGAAGCACATGCAGCTTTATCACCATGGATCTTGGAGCATACTGTTTGGCTGGCACAGAGGAAGCATTCCATAGATGTATATTTACAAACATTAATAATTAATTAGTAACCAGTGGATTTTCAAGAATTAACAAGGCCATGAAGGATAAAGAAATCAAAACATCCATTTTTTTAGCCACCCCTTTGTGAAATTAGCAGTACAAAATCATTGAGAAAGCCACTTAATTCAATGGCACAAGCTGAAAGCAATTGTGCTGAAATAATGTTTAATTGTATGTAGGTATATTTTTAAAAGCTTTTACCAGAAAAATGAGCAACACTTTTCACTGCTTTTATAGAGTCTCTTGCCAGTTTATACGGGCTGTCCATCATGTAGGTCAGCATTCACACAATTGTCTGCAGCAGACAACAGTCAAACAAACCACACAATAGCTAATAAATCACAAGGGCCTGTGCGCTCTTGTGTGCTCCAAATACTAAATGGCAATATGCGCACTGCCATTATGAATGAGGTCACTCCATGCATTCTCTGTTCTTTGGGATGAGGTATTATTTTGCAAATTTTATTTCATTAAGTGCCAAATAAATAGATGTTTCAGCCTGCAAGTATGATTGAAGGAGTAAGCATAGGTTTCACTGGGTACTGAGGTATAGAAGGAGCTTCTTGGCTCATCACTATGGATTGCCAAGGCTAGAGCAACTGGTCATCTCAAAAATGTTTTCATGTAACCCATTAAAACTCAAGTATTAGGTTTGTAGACACTTGAATGATGGTACATATACAGTCTACTTATCTTATACTATTCTTGAAAAATAGATAGAATATATAGCTACCTGGTTTTGATGGCAATTGGATATTCTGTTATGAAATTGTGGAGAGACAATTAATTCCCTGAATTAGGAATGAGTAAAGGGCAACTCTTAACCAAGATAATGTAATCTGGAGATTAGATGGTCACTATCCACTGTGGCAAAGCAGTTAAATATAAGCCCCAAATCATTTCTTTCAAATTTATTCCAATTCCTAGAGACTTTATTGATAGAGTTGAACCATAGGTGTTGTGAGGTGGTGAATCTTTAGGAAACTGATTGCTACATCTTTTTCCTGCAGAGCATGAGTTGAACTGCTGATCAGGGATTTTTGCAATTAAATACCATCTGGTTTCAAAGGTTACACTATCAGGATTCAAACATGAGCTGTATGTAACCTTGGACAATCTCTTTATGCTCTTTTTACCTAAGATTTTTTTTTAATCTTCATATTGAAAATGGCAAGAATACTGACCTCATAAAATAGTTTTAAATTAAATGAGATGAGAGATATGAGGCACCACTAGAACATACTAAGTGTTAAATATATGAAGGTATCTATTACTTCTGAGCAGGCTAAGAATCTTAATCCAGACAAAGAGCTTTGTAATGTCCCAAAATCAATCTCATGTGGATATGAAATAATACAGGAAAATAAATCTTTTTAAATGTGTGCTTTAGCATATATTGCTTGTGGCTGCAGATTTTTTTCTCATTTAATATGTTACAGGATGTGTTGTGTTTATTATTCCAATTAGAGACCTACTTCACTTGTCCTCATCTCTTAAGAATTCAGTATTGGGCAGTTATATGGTTGAATAGCTTATATTACTTCTATATGTGGCTCTGTGGCTCTGCTGGACTTCTAATTACTTGTTCAGCTACACTTAAATTATATAATTCTGTCTACTTATCCCCAATTTATTTCCATTATACTTGCCTCAGTTTAATCTCACAAATAAAACCAGACAAAATGATCTAAATTAAATAAAATTCACTTTTTGGTCCTGTGTAGCCATTAATAGAGAAAATGTGCATAGCAATAGAGGACTACTAGATCAAAGGCGAAGAGCCCTGGGTTCTAGCTTGCTGCTTCCATCATTTCCTTGTGTGAATTTGCTCCTCTGACTGTGCTTCTCGGCACATCTGACCAGACAGTTAGAACAGATGAGCAGCTCTCAAAGGTCTTCCCAGCTGTCACAGTCTACGCCTTTTCTATCAGAATCTTTATGTTTTAGAGTAAAAAATGACATTAAATGGCATCGTGTTAAATCAACATACTGCAAGAAACTCTCATTTCTCTTTCGGGATACCTACTTTCCATTAAGGAACTCTAGTTGCATAGTGGTTAGGCCTTGGGATGTTAGTCCCAAGGACCACAGATCCAAACCACCAGCTGCTCCAAGGGAGAGTGACTTGGCTTTCTACTCCCATAATGAGTCACAGACTCAGAAACCCAGTGAAGTGGTTAGACCCTCTCCTAAAGGGTCACTGTGGGTTGGCATTGAAGTGATGC